TTTCTGTCTTGACATTAATAGGAGTTCTGTATATAGATCAAGCCTAGAACAAACTCCTTCATACCATGAAAATCCATGGATCCAATCCTCTTTCCCCCCACAGAAAACATACAAATCATTATACCTCAGCTCAACAAATCTAGAGATTTATGTACCCTGCTGCTTTTGTTACTTCCATAAAGTACCTATATTTAATTTGATAATATTAAGCCAAACTATGCCCTTAGAAAAGTGTCTATGGCTTTCAATGAAAGCAGGGAGAAATTTGAACATTAAAACATTTCGTATTTAAATATTTTGCAAAATCTGAAAAACTTCCTTCCCCAGGAATCACAAAATCAGAGGATCGTTCTTTGAAAAAAATGTGTATAAGACACCATACCAAGAAAAAACTAGTGAAACTACCCAAAAGCTGTGATCTCACTCAAAGCATATAGCTGTCCTGGAAACACATGATGATGAGTACTGAGACAACGTCTCAGTTGACAACTTACTGGAGAATCCTCATACAATGAGTTCATAGCAATTCCTGCCTTAACACTTACTTCTCTTCTCTCAGGGTCAGGCTTTCACCTTTCTAGTTACTTGACAACAGCGTGAGAACTCAGCTACAAGAACTTGCAAAAAAAGGCGCCAGTTCCCCGCAGTGATTTCACAATGAAGATTCTCAATGAAAATTTCACAATGGTACTGACACTGTAAGTATTCATTGACTTATACGGCTCCTCTGTATATATCACTGTGCTTTACAGCACGTTAAAACAAGGAAAAATGCAACACATTTAGGAATAAAAGTTATTATGGAACTGCCTGGAAGAGGCAGTTCCTAGAAAGTCACATGACTGCACTATGCTAGTTCTGAAAATGTAATTTTCTTGGTTAGATCACATAAAAATTAAGGGGGTATAAAACTGATGCAAATACAGCTTTTAGCAAAGTTATTTAAAAATCCAGGCAAAAATGGGCATTTTTCATAGGATCCCAGCACATAAAGGATCAAAGAATAAGTAACTTCCTATCTTTCATGTTATCCTTTCTGACAGCTGCTTCCCTTATACAAAGGGCGGCATGATTGTTTTTGTCAGTCTTATAATTAAAATTACTCTCCAGATACCCTTTGTAATGGTTTCTCTTAGGATTTTAACAGATGTTGCCTTACGAGATCAGGACTCTCCTACACTAAGAAATGCCATCATCATAATCAAATGTTGTTGTGCTTCTCCAAAGTATGCTGTCATAATATGCCTGGATTTATGTACATAAAAGAAATCAGATTATAGGTTCCTATTGAGATGGAAGAGGAGAAGCTACAAAAGAAATATTGAGTTAAAGAATCTTATTCTGAGGCAGCAGTTCAATAAGCAATAAAGTGCAGACACCTAGAACCATATATTGTGGGGGAGCTATTAGTAAAGGGCAGCAAATGGGGAATTTAAGAGTTGTAGCACCAGTGCTAAAGGAAGCTACAACTGTTAAATGTCAAAAATCCTGATTTAAGACATGCTCAAATAGCAATCTGAAATCCAATGAAGGACTCTAAAACAAAGCAACAGCAGTTATTGAGCTATTTCAAGAAAAGTCACCTCCTTGAGCTATGTACCAATGCATGAATTAAGTTAAAATGTGAATTGGGTTAAATAGAACAATGTAATAATTTTGCTTATAGGACAATTTTTAAAAGACATTTAAGGCATGTGATTTGCATCAAAATCCATTCAGTTAGGCACCTGAATACCCTTAAAAACCCAGCACTATGTTCTTTTTTTTCCAAATCAGTGCCATAGCATATTTCATCTAAAGATCTCAAAGTGGCTTACAAAGGGTTACCAAGCAGTGCTGTTGTGCCTTAATTAAGGAACAGAGTAAAAGAGGCTAAGTAGCTTGCCCAAAAGGCATGCAATGAATCAATGGTAAAAAAAGAAAAGAAAACAGAATGCAGCTTTTGTTTCATAACTTCTGGCTCTAACAAAGCTAGTTTTATCTCCCTAGCCCACTCTATCTCACCTTGAGGAGGTTACCTCTTCAAAGATCCAAACAAGAATGTTTTTTAAATTAAAATTCTGCAAAAATGTGACTTTTACGACCCCCACCAAGAAAGTAGGTTTGCCACTTTTCTGGGGCAAGTAGATTTTTTGAGGCTTTTTTGAATATCCGTTATGGTTCAGGTTGGTGTCAGGCAGAAGGCAGAGTAGTCACTCAGACTGAAATTCACACAGGTGAATGGGTACTAACTTTAAATATGCATTTGATATTGATTTACATTCTAGAACAGCACCTGGAACTAGGGTTGGCAAGCTGGTCAACTGGCCACTCAAATATTGTCGTTTGACTGGTCAATTGACTGCATATTTTTTGTCCGGTCAAAGATTATAGCAATTTTCAAAAAAACCCTACATTTTTTGTAGTTTTCTTAACAGAAATATGATTTTTAATTGTTTTCACACATTTTTAAATGGAACATTTGTGCTTTTTCTGTGTATTATTTGGACCTGTTGGCAGTTTTTTACAATTTTTGACCAATATTTGACTGGTCAATTGACCACATTTTTTTGACCAGTCAAATACCCAACACTACCTAAAACTGTTATGGAAGGTGTTATATAAATGCATGGAATGATTTAGATTAATTCAACAACTGCCACCATTACCAGTGAGTTTTAAAATTAAGTTCAGCTGGAACATAAGTTGTATACTTCTCCACCATAAATATTCACTTTCAGGCTTCATTCACATAAACTTTTGTTAGGGGAATTATTTGAAGTCACTGAGATAATATTCAATAATCACAATGAAAATCACTTAGAAAAAAAAATACCTCATCTGTATGAACTATCTTCACTATGGTCAGAGAAAAATCTGTCTGTAGCTCTGATTTTTTTCTCCCCCTGCTTTGTGCAGTGATCCCCTGAGGCTGCACCAACAGGAAAGTGTTGTATCTAGACAAGCAGATTTGGTATAAACCACTTTTCCCTTTGGGAAGAATGGAAAGAAGACACAGAAGTTATCATTCTCTATGGACAGAAAATGACTAGAGCACATTCTTCTGCCAGCCATAACACCTTCTTAATAATAAATTCTGTTTACATAAATTGTCTTCTGTTAGTTTACTCTTCATCTTTCAAAACAGTCAAAGGCAGATGAAACAGCAGCTCAGCTCAGGAAGGAGCACTGTAAGCAAAGACTTTAAGGTGTGATAGTGTTTTCTCCAGACAGCATAAGCTATTTTTCACGTATCTCATGACCTTAAGGAGAGGTGACCAGTCAAAATCTTATATTTTTCAGCTTAATAGCAATGTTGCTACAGGATGCAAAATGGGCAGTTGTTGTCTTGGATAAAACAACCAAATCAAATACATGTACCTTCTAATACAGGCCACTTCTAATCCTGAATTTACCAGATTGCTATGAGTCCCTAAAGATTTGAATGGGACTATGACTACAGAAACAGATGGCCAAGAATACATCCCACTTTTGCAGATTAAAAAGTCAAGGTTTTCTTTAGGGCCAGCTCTAAGATCTTCCCACCTACTAACCCAGAAAGAAAATCCCTGATTTACAACTGCAAATATTCTCACAATACACATTTATCCGTCCAAGAAATCTTGTCTTCTTCCTTGGACTGCTCACCGACAAATCCCAATTGTGGAATCAGATGAAATAGTCAGCCAATTAAATGGATAAGCTAAAAAGGCTTGTGTTTTTTAATCTAAACTGTTTTGGACGTGGCAAGGTATAAACCTCCCTTCTGTAGCACCTGGACCCTCCAGATGGCAGGGGACAATAAGAGGATTTTTCAATGAAAGGTCCTCTGTTCTGGTAGCTTCAGACATGTTAATACAGTGCTTTGCAACCTTTTTTCAACTCAAGACACCCCTCCAAAAATACTACTGTTCACTGTTCATCATATACTCAAGTTTATTTGGTCCCTGCCCTGAAGATACTACACTTTAAATAATGGTTGCTCTTCCTCTATTTTTTAAAGCTTGTGGATGCATGTGTGTGAGTGTGTGCATTTCTTTTTTGTGTCCTTGTGTGACAAGGCATCTAGCAGGATTTGCTGGACCATGAGCACTTCTGCTATGGCCTGTGTGCGCATGTGAGAGAGAGAAAGGATTAAAATACATGAAGGAGGAGTCAAGGCTCTTGGTATTTATTCGTTTTTGAATTCAGAACAATTCTAGGGCAATTTGTCTTAAGCCCTGGACAGCCCTAAATAGGGCAGGAATATTTTTGATATGGAAGATTGCTGTTTAAAATCTCTGGGAACAGTGCTAATGTTGCACAGCACCCTGTGGCATGCTTTAGAGACTCTCTGGGTGTGGTGGCAGCACCCCCAGGTTGAGAACCACTTGTTTGAATGGCCCAAGGGACCCCAATACACTCATCAAGTTTCCTTGGTCCCTGCCCTGAAGACACTACCATTTAAATTCATCATTTAAATAAATATCACCTTCTTCTGCTGCTGTTGCTCCTTTTAAAGTGTGTGTGGGTGTGTGTGTGTGTGTGTGTGTGTGTGTGTGTGTGTGTGTGTGTGTGTGTGTGTGTGTGTGTGTGTGTGAAAGTGGGTGCATGTGTGAGAAAGTGTGCAAGTGTCTGTGTGTACAAGTGCCTGGGTGTGTATGTGTACTAGCATGCATGTGTATGTGTGCATGCAACCATGTGAGAGTGACTGTATGAGTGAGCATGTGAGTGTATGTGTGTGAGAGGGGGTGTGCGAGTGTGTGCGCGCAAAAGTGAGTGCGCAAGTGTGTGTGTGAGGGTGTGTGCGAGTATGAGTGAGCGTGTATGTGTGCATGTATGTGTGAGTGAGTGTATGTGAGCGTGTGAGGCTGAGGGTAGGAATGAGTGCGTGCATGTGTGTGTGAGACAGCGCGCGAGTGCGTGTGCGTGTGAGGACGACTGCACGTGTGCGCGCTGGGGCCGCCCCTGCCGGGCGCAGCAGAGGGCGGGCTGCGGGGCGGGGGCGCGGGGCGGGCTCCTCCTCTCGTCGCTGCCTCTGAAGAGCGGCTGCCCGGCTCGCGGCGCTCGGCACAGCGCAGCGCTCCGCACCGCACCGCACCCGCACCCGCACCCGCATCCGCAGCAGGTAGGGGAAGCCGGGCGGCCGCGGGGCTGGGTCCCTGCAGCGATGCTCCCTGGGGGACGCGGGGGGAAGGAGCCTGGCTCTGCCGGGGGGACTCTGCACCCTCCGGCTCCAGGGCAGATGCCTTGCCGGCCCAGCCGCTGGAGGAGCCCGCCTGGGAGCCGCAGCCTGCGCCTTGCCCTTCCAGCTGCCGGAGGAGTCTGCCTAGGACAGGCTGGCTTGGTAGCATGGCCACCGCCTGCCAGACCCCTGTGCCTTGCCTCTCTAGCTGCCAGAGGAGCCCGCCTAGGACAGGCGGGCTTAGATGTAGCTCTGTGCATCCATCGCCTGCTCAGACTGGCCCGCCTAGGACAGGCTACTTTGGTTTGGTTGAGTGTTTGTTTTTTCTTTGGCCTTCCAACCATTTGCCAGCTCTTAGGTGTCGTGATGGTTTAGACAGGCTGGCTGGCTTGGTTGAGTAGGTTTTTGGGTTTGTGGGTTTTTTTGTTTTGCTGGGTTGTGTTTTGTTTCCTGGTCTTCCAACCAGTTGCCAGCTCTTGGGCATCACGAGCAAGCACTCTGTCTCACCCCTGCTGGGAAGCCGTGGGCCCCAGTTCGGCTAATTCGTTAATCAGTGCCCGAGCCTGTTGACCCTGTTCAGGTTCACCCGCTTGCAGCCGTGCGGGGGTGTGGAGAGAAGGTGTGTGGCAAGGGCAAGGAGCAGTTGTGGGTGGGTTGGGTCGAGTGGGGGTGGAAGTAGCCAGGCCCAATGCCAGTGTGTGGTGAGTGGGGGTGGGATAAGCAGCCAGGCCCAACAGCATCCTGCTGTTGTGTCTTTTCAGAAAGGGAGAACACCAGCTTTCTTCTGTGCAGGATTTAACCCTTTCAAGAGCACTGAAAGGATGGCCATCTCAGCCCTGTTTGTTTTCTAGTAGCCATGTACGAGCTCCAGACTGCATAGGTGGACACTTCAATGTTTGATTAGGCAGCAGGTGCAAGCCAGTGACACTAGGCCTGTTCGCATCTTTGTTGTACAACTTGAACTCGGTTAGAAGGTAAACATTGTGGTGTCAATATGCAGGGATTTGGTAGTCTGAATTTGCTGAACTGGCAGTCTGTTTTCCAGTGCTCGGTGTGTCACGTACGTTTTGAAAACAAGATCCAGGAAAATCGTAGTGTGTTTAGAACATCAAATGACAACGGTCCTAGGGGCTACATTTAGTAACTGGAAGAATGTTGGATATGCTAGTTATTGCATAAAATTACTCTTTGTACTCTAAACATTTTACTCAGACAAATCATGAATATATAGAAGAGAAAATCCTGTTCCTCTAGATGAGTGATAAAGCTCTGCTGACTTTCACCAGGCCAGGACTGAACCTGAAATCTTTGGAAGCCATACTAGTGATACAGGATGGGTTCAAAATTTAAAGTTTATTAAGAACATAAGTAATGTGATCTCACACACAAATGCGACTGTGTCAGGAGTTACTTCTCAGAGCTGAACACTTCTTCTCTGTGTATTTTAATGCTACCCTCCCACCCCAACACACACTATAAGAAAGAAAGAAAAAAAAGGAGCCACAGTAGAAGAAGAATAGTCATTTAAACTGTAGTATCTTCAGGGCAGGGACTGAAGAAACTTGATGCATGTGTTATGAACAGTTCATCAGTTCTCAAAGTTCCCTCCTAAAGTATAACATTTGTTAATAATCTAATTTAAGTAAAATGATAGCTGTATATTACATGCTTGGGTGGTATTAATGACCTGTGAAGTTGACAATTCCTTTCAATGCATTTAATATATTTTTGGTCATAAGCCTTTTATACTGAGAAACAGCTAACATCGCATCTGAAACAAGTCCTTAGGTTATTGTTCTTTGTTTGTTTGTTTTTTTTTAATTTTGCTTTTAAAGTGATCAAATAGAAAGGAGGGAATACATTTATCATGTTTGTTTAAATATGGACAGATTTTGTAGGGTGTCACTTACAGAGAACAAATATAGCCGGCCCAGCTTTTATTTGCAGTTTATTTGCTAAAAACCTTTTATTTGCAGTTTCTTTTTGAACTGGTTTAAGATTGCACTTGGAGTTTTACATAGCTTTAGTAAAGTCATTTAAAAAAATAGAAAGGACAGGAGAACATTTGTTGATGTCCTTTCCACGATAATAGGCAGACAAGGTTCTTTGGGTGAATCTGATATCTTTTATTAGACCAACTTAAATAGCTGGAAAACAATTATTAAGCAAGCTTTTGGGTTCAAAAACCCTTCGTCAGGATACGGAAGTTTCAGCAGTTGGTGTGTGGCTCTTCCTGGATGGAAAAAAAAAAGTAAAGAAGCCAGAGGCTGGTCTGGTATGCATACAAGACAGGTAGTCAGTGTTACTTTTCATTCCATGCCTATGTCCTTAGACCAACACAACTACAACCTACACCCCTTTCCATGATAAGGAATTTCAAAACAAATACAAGTTTCCAGACAGTTTCTGTGAGGCTGAAACAATCAATATGAGGAGGAGGTAGAAGGTGGGGGGGTGGAAAGTGTTTAAACAAACAGCTTTTCAATAGAGTCTGGGTAGAGCATTTATTCTCACTTTTACGTCATCATGATAAACTTGAACACCAGCCAAAAAAAAAGGTACTTCCTTGTCTGAGCTTTCCTTGCTGAGTGAATGCACAGTAATCTTATCACTTTTTATTCCATTACATAGATTTCAGAGTACAAGTCCTGAGATCAGACAATTCTGTTTCTTTGTATTATACATTATATGACAGTACTTCTGCCGGTATGACAATACTTGCGTCACTGCAATCAAGTTATTGGTTTCAGTTAGAAACCCTTTCAAGTGGAAACTTGAGAGGTAGCCTGAAACATTTTTTTAAAACCAAAATTAGTTACACTTTCAGTTACAAAGCATGCAAAGTAACTGATGGTTTGGGGTTGCTTTCTCTTTCATGTAAAGAAAATCGGGTCACTAGTGTTTTTTGGAATAGGCAACTCTAAAATTCCCATAAAATGGGAGAGTTAAAACACGTACCATCCACACATGACATGGTAAAAACCATACTAAAAATGTATTTTACTGTACATGGGTGTTGGTTGTAGCCGTGTTGGTCTAAGGGCATAGGCAGAGAAGGTTCTTTGGGTAAATCCAATATCTTTTATTAGAACAACTAAAATAGTTGGGAAAAATTCTTCTTTGCAAGCTTTTGGGTACAAACACCCTGCTTCAGACAGAAGAAACATCTGCAGTTATATACTCTTCCTGGATGGGAGACAAGCAGCCTCTGGCTTCTATTCTATCCCATCCAGGAAGAGTACATAACTGCAGATGCACCCTGGTTTGTACCTGAAAGCTTGCAGAGAAGAAGTTTTCCAACTATTTTAGCTGGTCTAATAAAAGATATTGGATTTACCCAAAGAACCTATACTGCACATTGCCTTTGAAATGCCTGAAGAACCTAAGTTGGTATTGTGTAATTCCCTTCTTTTATAGTGCGTTGGTTGTCTTTTTGCTGATAATTCTCAAACGCTTATTTATTCAACTGACCACAAGAATCCCATGTCAAATAATCAAAACATAGCTATCAACAAGCTATTATTTTTAGGCTATTAAGTTTCACATTTTTTATGCAACTTACATGCAGTAGTCTGCTTGATTGAATTAACAGTGTACTCCGGATCATTCTCAGTTATGAATTTTGCCTGATAAAGAACTCATTACAATCTGTCTCCTCTTTGAATATCCCAAATGTTTTATGGCTGGCATGTTTTAAAAAGAGGCAGTAAACAAAGACAAATAACTCCAAATCTGAGTATGCTTAAGGCCTTGCCGACTTTGCAGAGTTATGTCAGCTAGCAGTATGAAGAGATCACAGCCCATAACTGATACAGCTTGTTTCTGTTGATTTTAAAAGCCCTTGAAAGGAGAGATGTACTTGGGCAGGGCCCAATTAGGCAAGCACATAACCTAGTTCTGTTCTTGTTCCACCTTACTCAACCTGTTCTGTTCTAGAGCAGATAAGATGTTTCTGTTGGTGAATATGCACTTACAGAGGTAATAATAAGTTTCCTGCATTCTGTTTCTATTTCTCAGATGACTGATTTTGGAATCAAGAACATGGATCAGGTAGCTCCTGTGTCTAACCTCTACAGAGGAATCCTCAAGGTGAGTTCTCTTAGGTTAGATGCTTCTGAAGCCAAAAGGTTGCATCTACTCATTGCACATATTTATAGTCTGTTAATGCTAATGAAGAAACTGTATGGACATGCTGATGAGAGGATAGATTCTCAAGTACTAAAAGTCTTATTGCAGATGAGGTTCTCTTCCTCTAGTTGGCACTTAATTAAGTGGAGCTAGAGCGAGCCCTTTGTACCCAGACACTTAAAACTGACAAACATATTGGATGAACAGTTAATTCCATCATAATTCCCACCAATCCTAAAGATCTCATAGTAAAATATAGGGTCAGATACTGAGTTCTCATTCTTTGAAGTAATGGGCATTTAGGTGCAAGTAAAGGCAGCAGGACTGGGTTTTTCTGTGTTTAACTTTGTGTGGCTGTTGCATTTTGATATGCAGCTTTAGTTCTTAGTTATAAAAGCATTACTATGGTATGCAGAAAATTTAGAACTTGTCTTGTTATTCACTTATTACATGCAAGCCTAGTACCAAATGAAAATAGAGTGTACAGCAGGAAAACAAAAGCAGGCTATTACATTTTATAATGATTCAAATGTATTGACTCCATTTAGAAGGAATTTATAGACAAGAGGACAAAGTAGGAATAAAAGATTCCTTTTCTAGCTGTCTGCAAGTGCTTCTCTTTTTATCTATATGACAGTTTCCACCCCTGCGCCCCCCCTGCAATCTCAGCCTTGATTCTTTATGTAGTGATGATCAAGGTAAATTGAATAAAGACCAGTCAGACTTTCTGAATCCTTGAACCATAAGAAATGCTGTGATCACTGAGGATTTTATTTTTAGAGCAATTCAGATACCAGAGATTTGTTTAAGAAGTGAGCTTCAAGGACTGAAGTGGAGGTGAAGGGGGGAATGCGTTTTTTTGCTAATTTGTTTACTGTATAGGACAGCACACAGTTGTTATTCCAGGCATAAAACAAAATAGACACTAATAACAATACAATCTCATGTCTCAGCCTTTAAGGTTCCATTATCAGGTACTCGCTGCTTATTTGCAGTTCTTTTGGACTTGCTTTAAGTTGTACTTAAATTTGTAATAGCAGTTCTCATGTATACTTTGAGGTCAAATAACGTTCTGGTGACTATAAGTAAGGTGAGCAGGATTTATCCCATGTAGAGCTTTCCTCTACTATTTATTGAAAGCTTTACTCAAAGGATAGTTTCACGTTTCACAAGTGTAAAATCCAGTATGCTTTCTACTCGTTCATGGTACTGCATTTTTTCCAATGACTCAGTATAAGGGTCATATATTTACACAAAACACAGGAGTTTCCAAATGATGTTGAAAGAACTTGGCCTTCCTTCTAGGTACTAGTGATGAATCAGAGCTATTCTCTATTAACAGAAAAGGAGTTTTCTAGGCAGCTATTAACCACTTAATTTAGATGAGAGCTTTTATCCTGACGCTTTATTGTTTGTCGTTGTTCCTGAACATTTTTTGTTGGTTAGAACAAATTACATTCTCTCAGCTCTCTGCTGGTCCTTGGCATATTTTTTGGACTCAGTTAACCATTAAAGGGAAGCCACCTAAAGAGATTTTTCCTTCCTGGCAGCTTTTTTTTTTTTTT